CATACTATATTAATAGCCTTATAGCTATATGAATAGATAAATAATATAAAATTAGTTTCTATTATAAATTTAGCCTTCATATAGTATATTAATACAAAGAAGTTTATAATTAATAGCTTAACCAATTTAAATTAATACTTTCAAAATAAAGTACTATTGATGTTTTTTTTCATTCTTATATTTACTATCATATTAACTACGAGCTATATTAACAGTCTGTGTTACGAGCAGGTCAGGGCAGCCAACTATGGCACAAAGCAAAAGCTTCGATAATAATGACTCCGGCATCATTGTCCCCTGTTCTGCACTATATAAGTACGCCGGCTAGCACCCAACTGGTTGGGCCGTAACAGTCTGCTATATTAATATAATTGTTTGACCTATTTACAAAGCTTAATTTAATATTTCTAAATATTAATTATTTTATTTTATATTAAATTAATTAATTAAGTTATTAGTCTTAGTAAATAGCCTACTCTATATAAAAAGCTTTATATTTTATGTTCTAAATACTTAAAAATTATTTTCATTAATACTTTTATAAATATATGCAATGACTAATAAAATTATTGTTAAAATAAAATTAAATCTAAAATTATTTTAAATTAATTTTAAGAATATACTTTTTATAATCTTCTTTTAAAATAATTAACTTTATATTAAATTTTATAATTACTTTTACTTATTTTTATTGAAAAATCTTTTTAATAAAATCGTAGTTAATTATTAAAGCTTTTTCTTATTAGAAAAATATAGTTCAAAAAAGTTATCTAGAACAACAATATTATTATTAGCTTCGTAGCCCTGACTTTTATTAATATACTTTATCACAACTAGTTAGCTATAATACTTTAGTATACGCGAGTTTCTTAAGCCGTATACTGCTAGGCTTAGTGCAGGTATTAATATAGACAGTACGAAGAGTCTCCAGCAGTGGGGTTCTTAGACAAACGAGAAAAGTAGTAGGTCTAACTCGGGAAGTGTGAGTATCTCGGTCTAAAGTTAGTCGATTTCTCCCTTGGCTTTCACTAAGGATTCTTCACTGCCTTGCCTCCTACTAAGGTAGTCGAGGGGCCTCTCAACTTTGCGCGCGCACATACTTTTGGGTTCGGCACTCATGTCATTTCTCTATGCTAGATTAATGACCCGAAGTCGGGGTAGTTTGATGCGAACCATCTGGGGTAATGCTCTAATATACGAGAACCCCACACGGCGTATGTGACACCCTTGCATTTCTCACTCTGTGTCGCAATCTTCTTACCGGAAATGCTGTGATGCCATAGGTCTAGTTCCCGAAAATACCTCCTCGACGTCTTGGCCAGGTTCGACCATTCCGCTTATACCTATTATAGCGCTTTTAGTCCTCAAGAAAGGCGAAGACCCCCTGTAGCATTAACGTTAATCCAAGCGGACTCTCGAGCTGTGGAATAGCCCCTTGAGTTACGTTTCGGCGAGTTGTTGCCTCATCTGTACATTCGCAGCAGCTTGAACAACGGCGCGTTTCCCCCATTTTACCTGGGCTAGCTCAATACTTCGTATTCAATTCCACGTTCCCTTCCTCAGCAACATTTCACCCTATCTTCGGCGTTATTGACTTTGAGTAAATACTTGGTTTACCCACGTGTAGTCCAGAACCTTCCCCGCATGAAAGTCCTGCCTAAACATCGCTCTGGAGTTCGCATAGAATTCGAATACGATCCAAAAGGCATCGATCATATAATGAGCTACTAGCAATGATGCCAGGGCGGTAGTTCTCGTCCCTATCTAAGCCGACATAAATGCGGGGAGCACCTAGAGGCTATCATATTCACCCGATCATATCGACTCAAATTGACAGGAAGCAAAGTATAAATGGATGTAGTCAAGCAGTTGCAACTATTATCGCTTACTCCTTCATCTCCCGCCACTCATTCACCTTTCTCATACCTCACCTGGCACCATGTCTGTCAGTATCTTTGATCTACAGTTCGAGCAACATCGCTCCGCGTTAGGTATACACCAAACTACGCCCCGGATATCCTGGCGATTTGAAGGCGACGCCGCTAATTGGACTCAACTCGGGTACGATCTTGAGGTTACAAAACAAGGTATAACCGAAGTCTTCCACGTCGAATCTGCTAACTCCGTATTCGTCCCATGGCCTACTGTTCAGCTGAGCGAAGGTGAATCTGCCTCCGTACGTGCTAAGGCATATGGGCACAATGGCCAGCCGGAGACTTCCTGGTCAAAGTCCGTTACTGTTGAAACCGGTTTACTTTCACCAGAGTCTTGGCAAGGCGCGCTCACAATAACGACGCCGGATAAGAGGGCGGATCGTAATACCACACAGCATCCGGCACTCTTTAGGAAAGACTTCCATATCGATAGTGAAGTTCAATCGGCGCGACTCTACATCACCGCTCTCGGTATATACGAAGCAGAGCTCAACGGACAGCGCGTTGGGGATTATGTTCTCGCTCCCGGTTGGCAGTCATACGCGCATCGCCATGTTTATGACACGTACGATATCACGAGTTTTCTGGAAGCAGGCGATAACGCCATTGGCGTGACCATCGGGGAAGGTTGGTTCTCGGGCCGACTCACATGGGGCGGCGGAATCAACAATGTCTACGGTGAGGATCTCGGACTGAAGTCTTTACTCAAGATCAGCTTCAAGAACGGAACGATCCAGTACATCGGCACCGACGAGACTTGGATGTCTACCGAAGCTCCTACTTATTCCTCCTCGATCTATGTCGGTGAATCCTTTGACTCGCGTCTCGTGCAGAAGGGGTGGTCGTCACCCGGCTTCGAGAACCAAAGTGCTTGGAAAGGTGTCCGGCCGACTCTTGGCCCGAGCCATCTAGTTCATGCTGACGGTCCTGGAATACGTCGCATCGAAGAAGTCACTCTGAAGAGCGTCACCTCCAGCCCCAAGGGCGCTACCTTGCTCGACTTTGGACAGAATCTCGTTGGGTGGCTGAAGATTAAAGTCGATGGGCCGAGTGGGACAACAATCAAGCTCACGCACGCAGAGGTTCTCGAAAACGGCGAAATTGGGACGCGTCCTCTTCGAGGCGCTCTCCAGACAGACTACATCACTTTGAACGGCGAGGGCGAGCTGACATGGGAGCCCAAGTTCACATATCATGGATTCCGGTACGTCCAAGTCGAAGGATGGCCTCAGGAAACGTCGCTCGATAGCAACAGCGTCTCAGCCGTGGTAGTTCACACCGACCTAGCAAGAACTGGATACTTCAGGAGCAGCAATGATAAGCTCAATAGGCTGCACGAAAACGCCTTATGGTCTATGAAGGGCAACTTCATGAGCATTCCCACAGATTGTCCACAAAGAGACGAGAGATTAGGGTGGACTGGAGATGTCACTGCATTCGGGCCGACAAGTGTTTTCCTTTACGACACCTCCGGTTTCTGGAAAGGATGGATGAAGGACGTGAACGCTGAGCAGGCTGATGCTGGAGGTAAGAGGGCATAATGGTTGGCTTGTTTGATTAATAACTGACTAGCATGCTAAGGAATTCCTCCCGTCCTCATACCTCATGTCCCTCAGGGATGGACAGCCAACGGATATCCACCGACCGCCATTTGGGGTGACGTAGCTGTCATCCACCCATACAATATCTTTCAAGCCTTTGGCGATCGAGACCTTCTCCGCGAACATTGGCCAGGCGTCAAACTTTGGCTTGATGACGGTGTTAGGCGTGATTCCACTGGGCTGTGGGATCGTTCAACCTTTCAATTCGGTGACTGGCTCGATCCCCTTGCCCCGCCCTGGGATCCAGCTGCCTCACAAACAAACAAGTTCCTGGTTGCCGACGCCTACCTTGTGCACGGAATTGGTCTAGCTGCACAGATGGCAGAATGGCTCGGGGAGACAGCAGACGCAGACCGATATAATACAGCATACAGTAACCTCAAGACGAAGTTCCAGGCAGCATGGATCAACATAGATGGTACTATGGTGAGCGAAACTCAGACCGGACTTATCCTGCCTCTATACTTCGGCCTAATCCCGGACGCGCAAGTTGCAAACGCCACGCAACGTCTTCGGGCAATTATCGAACAAAATCAGTACAAGGTCGGAACCGGCTTCGCTGCGACACATTACCTTGGCCTCGGTCTCTCTGCGGTTAACGCGACAGATACATTCTATGGCATGATACAGCAAGAGGAAGTTCCCGGTTGGCTGTATCAAGTGAAAATGGGCGGCACAACTACGTAAGATTTTATTGTTGCTACTCTACAAAGAAATCATGACTGACCCTGCCATAGATGGGAGAGATGGGACAGTATGCTCCCAGATGGTAAGATTAATCCTGGCGACATGACATCTTTTAATCACTATGCCTACGGCAGTGTTGCCGATTGGATGCATAAGACAATTGGCGGCATCTCGCCAGCAGCTCCGGGATACAAAAGAATCAGCATCGCACCCATTCCTGGAGGTATGCTCACCAACGCTGCCTGCTCCCTGTACACCCAGTATGGCCTGGTCTCAGCCGAATGGTGGCTTGAGTCTAGCAATTTTCGGTTGCAAGTCACTATCCCTCCGAATACTGTCGCAACGATCACGATTCCAGCAGTGGGGAGCAAAGCTGGAAGAACGACAGAGGTGGGAAGTGGAACTTATACATTCTAATAGACAGTTCAAAGACTCGCTTCTTCAGGAGAAAGTTAAAAAGTGTAAGACATTCCGCCAATGTGATCTTAGCGTGTCCGAAGATGCGCATTATTGGGGTCCCGTCGTGATCCAGCATGTCAGAAAGTCAGAGTTAGTTCCAATTGAATTCAGGTCATTACCTGATGAATAACCTATGAGATATCTACAACTATTATCAGATGAAAATGATCTTTCTTCGGTTGATCCGATGTCAGAGATATGGAGCAAGCTTTAGATCGCGTCCATGTCAGACTATTTAGGTTGATAACAGTGTAGCCAGTCGCGTTGAAAGATGCCATCACCCCGCATGGTCATCGTCTTCGAGGTTTCTTCACAGCACTCAGCTACATTCAAAGCCATGTACGGAGACAACATCTCGGCACCGGTACTTGGTAACATCAGTCCCGGTTGTAGTGTTCTTCAAGTCAACGTCCTCAATAGTAATGTCTTCACAGCCGCCCGAGCCTTGGCTGCAGTTCATATCCGCAACGTAAGTAGATGCGCCATCGCCGACCCAGTTGCGGATCGTCATGTCTGAGATCTTGAAAGTACTGCTTTCGCAGTCTCCCTGTTGGCCACTGAAGCTAGTACATTGACCAATGAGAAAAGGTGCCTCTCGTGTCGCAGTGAGGTCAAAGTCATAGAGGGCTAGAGATGCTATTAGTGTATTCCTACATATGTATTTGGAAGGCTCGTGTAGTAATGACATGGTGACTTACTCGTATTCTTGAGGTCTTGGATCAGATCAATTAGCAAGTCTTGTTCAGGTTCAAAATGAAAGCTTGGAAGCTTTCTAGGCTTTCTAGGATTCACTCACATCCAACACCGCCTCCACCTCCATTAGGGGGGTAGGAAACCTGATCTCCAGTCCACGTCTTCACATATGCGCCATACCGAGTCCCCAAGCCCTTGATACGCCTCACAGTCACGTTTTCAACGCGCTCGAACTCGTTCTTATACTGGCCAAGACTGCCAAAGGCTATACCCAGAGAGTGATCCATGGTGGAGTCTTCAATGAGGATGTTGGTAGAGTTGCCTTTAATGGCAATCGCATCGTCGCCATTTCGGATGTACATATTGCGGAACGTGATGCGGTCCGAGTCGATGGTGTCTGCGCCGTCCGTGTTCCTGGCAGGGTACCCGTTGTTGGTAGTGCTGTTGATGTATACGCCGTCGAATAGCACGTTATGCGAGTGCATTATTGCCATGGTCCACATCTGACTCTGGACCATGCGTACGTTTCTCACTGTCATGCCTGACGCTTTCCAGATTGCTAGGGCATGAGGGCGGTCAGGGTAGTTGGACTGGCCTTTGACTAGGTTGTACCTGAATCAAGGGTGTCAATACGAGTTGGACAGATCTTGTTGAGAATCGACATACTGACCAGGTCTGTCCGTTACCGTCCAAGGTTCCATATCCAAAGCCGTCAACTGTGACGTTCTTCCCGCCCAGGAACCACGCCGCAGAGCCGTTTTGGAAACCGGTCGGCTGCGGGTTGCTGAGCCAGTAGTCGGTGTCTTTGCTCCACTACGTATCAAACGGAAGTGATCAGTACCTATAGATGGCTCATGACAGGAGTAGTGAGGTTATCTAATCTCACCACCAAGGTACCATGGATCTCGATCTGGGTATTCTCCAGATCAGTCGTGGTCATCATCTTTTCAATATTGTACGTCGTGTTGGAGAAGACAATCCGGCGATTCTTACGGCATTCCTTGAAGGCTGCGAGGATGGCTGGGGAATCATCGGAGCCGTCATTGTTGGCCTCAACGGTACAACTGTAAACGGCTCTGTCTTCGAGGACGTTGTTCGGAGAAGCCAAGACTGTAGAGGAAAGGCCATGTAGGGTGAACAAAAGCACGGCCCAACTGAGGTCAAGATTGGGGAGCATCGCGGCAACTGGGAGTCGAAGCTGAATCGATGGGGATTTGAAGACGACTCAAGCAGAGAATAGTGCTATCTGGTCGGTACAACTTATACAACTATCGATAGCCAAAGACATGGTGACGATCATCGAGAAGCATATGCTGTTGCCCGGCATTTGTTCAGGGGCTTCGGCATGATGGTAGTTGACGAGGGTGTCACTCGCTGGCAATTGCGACGGCTTCTGCGAAGCTAGATCAAGAAGTGTGACGATGCCTTCCTTGTGCAGAAGCACTTAGTTGCGAGCCAAGAGCATGAAAGGCAACTTCGTGAACATGAAGATTGATTTACTGTAAGAATACATATCCCGCCACCGATACCGGCCTTTCTTTCAATTGGTGGACTTCATCGCGGTCACCCGCCGTCGGGGGATAAAAGCACGAATTCCATGGACGACATCCCCAGATGTGACATCTTCGACCAATGACCTTCCCTTCCTCCGTACTGCTGGTTTCCTGTCAGCCGACCCCGCATTAAACACCTTTCGTCCCAATACAGAAGTACCCCGATTATGGACGATGAGCGGGTTACGGCCCATTAAGGGATGATAGGTGGGCATTCCCGGAAGATATAGCCAAGGCAAATCCCGCCAAGGCACGGGGCTGATTGCATCAGCCCGCCGTCGATACCCCGGATCTCCGAGATATGCACAGCTCGGGTTCCTGCAGGAATTACCGCTGCGACAAACAGGTTGTCGAGATTGCTGCCATGTGCGCTTCCGCCACTTTCTCACGAATCTCTGAACAGTCTCGCGAAAGTCATCGTCTCTTGGCGGCTCATCCAACTCTTCTTAGTCTGGTCGCTAGTTACGTGGCGCAATCATAATGGTTTTCCTCGGACGACGTCATAAATCTTGTCACCCTCATGGCTTGAGCACTTTCAGTCGGCCGTCTCAGCCCACCCCAAACTAATTCCTTGGTAGCTGATTGTTCACAGCGTCATGAGAATTGGATTACTGAATCCGAATAGCGTTTTATTGGGCAGACTATTCGATGGCTAGGTTTGGCTATATCCAAAGATGAAGTAGATACACACTTTATTGACTCTATGCACAGCTCTACAGGATATATAAAGGAAATGTTTTGTCCCATAACCACATCAACGTGATGCAACCATTATTACATATACACACGCACACGACCCTCAGCTAGACAGCCAGCTTAAGAGCAGGTACCGAAGATGGGCTGGCAGCCGGTGCCGCAGTGAGCAGTGGTGGTTCCGCAGAAGCCGTACTCAGAGCAGCAGGTGCTGTCAGGGCAGGTGTAGCCGTTTGAGCCACCGCAGGAGCTGTCGGGGCTGACACCGCCGGTGGCAGCGGTCTGGGTAGCAGCGGGGGCGCTGGAGGTGGCATCACCGCCGGAGGCAACGGGGCCGGCGACACCGCAGACGCCGAAGAGGGGCTGGCAGCCGGTACCGCAGTAGGCCTGGGAGGTGCCGCAGAAGCCGTACTCGGAGCAGCAGGCACCAGCCTCGCAGACGTAGTTGTTGGAGCCACCGCAGGCGCCGTCGGGGCCGATGACGCCGGTGGGGGTAGCGGTGCTGGTGATGGAGACGACGATCTTGGAGGCGGTGGCGGTGGGGGTGGAGGTGCGCTTGGTCTTGTACCAGTTGGCCTCGGCGTCGCCCAGGCACTCGCCGACGGTGACGGCGTTCAGGCCCTTCTCCTTAATGATGCGGAGGAACTCGGGGACAAGGTACTCGGCGGTGTTCTGGTGAACCTAATGCGGGTGTTAACTGTCTGTGATGAAGGTCAAATTTTGACTGGACTCGTAGTAAACTTACCTCGTGGGCCAGGGCAATGGAACCACCGGCATCGACACCCTTCTCGAAGATGCCGACGCTGGTAAGGTTGCCGAGGGGAGCGTTGTTGGCGTAGTCGAGGGAGTCGATGTCGGCGTGGATAACGTGGTACTCAAGCGCCTTCAGGATGGAGAGGGTGTTGTCGTTCCAGCTGAAGTAAGGAGGGCGCATGTAAGTGGGGTACTTTCCAATGATGTTGATGAGAGCATCCTCGAGCGTAGTCATCTCAGGGATGATGTCGGCATCGCCCAGTGTGGCGAGGTCGGGGTGGCTGTAGGTGTGCGAGCCAATCTGGTGGCCGTCGGCGACCATACGCTTGACGACATCCTGGAAGTTGTTGATGTTGCCAAAGTTCTCGCCGTTGACGAAGAAAGTGGCCTTGGCGCCAGCCTCAGCGAGGAGGTCGAGGACGTGCTCGGTGTAAGTGAACGGGCCGTCGTCGAAGGTCAGAGCGAAGTCACCCTCAACAGTGCACTTGGTAATGGCAACACCGTAGGGGATGTTGGTGGCCGGGGCGGTAGCGCTGGCGGAGGCGGATCCGGAGGCCGTGCTGGAGGTGGAGGCCGGGATGGTGTCGTTGTTGCCAGCGGGGACGGTGGTGCTGGGAACGGCAATGGGCTCGGTGGGAAGAGCAACACCGGGAACGGTGGTGAAGGAGGGAGCAGCGGTGGGGATGCTGGTGTTCTGGGGGAAGGGAATGTAAGAAGAGCCACCAGGAGGCTTGCCCGGGTACGAGGGGACGTTGCCGGCAGGGGCAGAGGCGGCAGCGGAGGGAGCAGCGGAAGGCCACGAGCCGCCGGATCCAGGCTTGCCTCCTCCGGGGTAAGAGCCGCCGTTGGAGCCCTTGTCAGATCCCTTGTCGGAGCCCTTGTCGGAGCCCTTGTCGGAGCCCTTGTCGGAGCCCTTGTCGGAACCAGTGTTGGAACCAGTGTTAGATCCAGTGTTGGAACCGGTGTTGGAACCGGTGTTAGATCCAGTCGAGGAACCCGTGGAAGAGCCGGTGTTGGACCCGGTGTTGGAGCCCGTGTTGGAGCCGGAGCTAGAGGAGCCAGATCCGGAACCAGTGTTGGAACCGGAGCCAGAACCAGAAGAGCCGGAGCCAGAGCCAGAGCCTGAGCCGGAACCAGTGTTGCCTCCGTTTCCGGGGTTTGACGGGGGAGGATAAGAGCCGCCGGGAGTAGTGGGAACACCGGGGATGGTGGTGTTCACGGGGTAAGGCGGGAAGTGAGCCTTGGTGCTGCTCGGCTGAGGGGCGGGGAGGTCCTCATCGCAGAAGGTCTCGTTCGAGGTCTGGCGGCGGAAGGGGGAGGCGGCCGCTCCGGCCACGAGGAGCGAGGTAGCAACGGTCTTGAAATGCATGATGCGAAAGAATGACTAGTATTATATAAAGAATGACTTTGGTGGTTAGAAACGAGTGACGTTGTCTTACAAGAAGAAGACGGACAGTTGACTAGTAGTGAAGAAGAAGAGGAAGACTAGAAACACTCAAAGGTAGACATGGCGAGCCGCCCATATATCCCATCCGACTTTGCCAAGTCTCGATGGAACCCCCTATGCGCCCATGCGGGTTGTCAGCTTTGCAGTACACTAACAACCCCATTCATGTTCATCCCGTTTTAATTGCCAAGATTCACGGCCAAGAACTCCAGTCCCAAGTTCCCAACTCCCCAAACAAGGCCGAGTCATGGTTGGGGTTCCTCGCTTGGGCGTTGCACCGCCCTGCAGGAAAAGCAAAGCAACCTTGTTAGCTCGGCTTGGCGTCTGTAGAGTTGCCCAGCTGGCTGGGAAATGGAAACGGGAAGAAAAGGTCGAAAAGGTCCCGTACATGAAGGGCCTGCAAGTCGCGGGAGATAAGATGAAGGGCCACTGAAATAGCTGGCCCATCATCCGTGCAACGGTGTTGGGCATTCTGTGCTCCCCGTTGAAGTCCGTCTCACGAGTCACCGTTACTCTCCTCCTTCACGCTCCCCCCAAGGTGGCGGCCGCTGTTGGCGACGCCTGATGACGACGAGCGGACGCTCAATATGGACGATATAACAAACGGAGGTGCCAAGATACTAAATCCCAGATCAGGGCGGGTCTGGCTTTTAAGAGAAACCAAGGTGATGGCAGGTTGTAGAGGTGTTGTCGCTTTGTCTCCGCCGGTTTGACTTTTCGAATTGTTCTTGGTCAATCTCAAAAGCCTCGATCCAACCAATGAGATCTCGCATGACTCGGTATGAGCCCACTTCGATATCCTTATTAACTAGCTTAATGCTACTTGAATGCGCGCATGGCCCGACAGCTCCGGCACTTCGCCGCTCTTAGCCTTCTTTCAACTTTCAAGGTCACCCTTCAACTGTTCAACAGGCAGGTGGAAAAAAACCCGAAGCTGAACGAAACGGAGAAGTCCATCCTGGTCGAAGCGCGCGCGGAGACGGTCTCCATGGGCCATCTATATAAGATGAAAGCTGTGGCCTCGTTCTGCCTCTCCGAAGGTTTAAACACTGGGCCTTGATTGGGCAAACCCACTCTGGGGTTTGTGATTCAGCACAATATCGAATTGTGGCTACCATCACCAACACCACCCCATTGATATTTGATGAAGTGCGACCTCTGCATCTTTCATGATTTCACAACCGACATTGGGCGGCGCGGTAATTTAAGCAGCCCTGGGGCGTCGCATTTTCCTTTTTCGAACACAATCTTCCGTTGCAGGCATGTTGGATACTGTCCATTGCCTGATGTTGCTGCACGAACAACCAAAGATCTTTTCACGGGCAACGGGGGCCAAGCCCGTAGTGTAAGCCAACGCCGTCAGCCAACACCAGGCACAAGAGAGGGGCCGCCGGACACTCTCAGGGAATCAGAGTCCAGACATCGCCGATGGGTGGTGCGCTTGCAGGGGTCGTCGGTCTGGGCGTCGCTGCGAGCTGTCAGGGGCAGAACAGGGGTTGGCTGCTTGTTTGTTGGAGTAGGCGAGCTGTTCATCGCAGGGCAAGCCAAGGCTCCCAGAAGCTCGCATTCGCAAGGTCCAGAATGTTACCGTTGGAGTTACTGGTCATTATCTCAGCAGCCCTTTCCTTCTTCTGGATGGTGATACTTGGTGCGTTGGCGTGGCTGACAACTCCCCTAGCGTGGCTTCTTGTCTCACAGTCTCAGACACTGAAAGGCTTACTTCAATTTCTTGTTTTCAATGCTGTCAAGTTATCGTCGACTTGCGGCTGATGATAGCTGAGATCTGTATCTGTATCTCATCATCTGTACTTCACCGTGAAAAGAAACTTTCGCCCAGCCTTCATTGCCTATTCGCCCCTTTATGCTATTCTTGCCTCTCCTCTCGACTCTATTAGCGTCAACTCTTCCTACGTACCGTTAATCTTGGCACTCAGGATGCCACGCCATGAGACAGCGGGGCGCAAACGAGCTTGGCCAATGCACATGCTGAAAGACATGATCTGTGCGCTTTGCCAGCAACTCGCTTCTCATGATGAAATGGAAGGGTTCCCCTCTCAATTAGCAACCAGCTTGAAAGTGCATCAGCGACAGGATCAGTGCTTTGTCAACAATCTTCAACGCGGCAATCTGTTGATTGCTACAGACATACTGCAGTGCAACAGGCACACAGAGCACTCGCTGTCTCCGGCTTCGATGAAGATTTTCGCTGGAAGCACAAGCAAACTGATCAGTACGGACACCGAAGACGAATATACATAGGAAACCTATTTTCGCACACTATCGAAACCTAACGGACCTCCTCTATTTGAGTTCTTGCTGATTGATCATGTATGCTCCCGTGGGCCACCTGTCGCACGTCTGCGGTCCGCCAAAAGTATATTCTGAAGAGCCCACCTTCTAGAACCACAATAGGAAAGTAGCAAGCAGGGTTATCGTTACTTGTCGATCTCGCAGTTACTTTCGGCCACATGCTTTGCATTTCGCTGTTCCCAAGTTGAAAATAAGCTTGATATCCAAATTAGTATGAAGGCAAATCACTCTAACTTTTCCTTAATGCCCGTCACAACCGTCACAAACGGTACAGATAGATGTAACGTCGCTTAAGACTAAATGACTTCCTCGTCGGCTAGTTCGTTTCTGGAGCGGAATTTCGAAAGTCTATAGACTTGTCCACAATGCCGAGGACATAAGTAAGCGCCTCCTGCCCACCAATTACTGCAAATACATACGGAGCAAAACAGAGAAGAAAATCTTGAAAGTATCATCAACGCCAACGCCATAAATGACCCCCAAGGCAGAAAACAATGGACTCTCTAACAAACATGCCCCTAACGCCGCGCCTTTGGTGAAAATCCATGCCGGAAAGGTCGTCAGAGCTATAGTGCATCAAAGTCCAGACAATACTTCAAGAATTATCCTCATCTGGTACGACTGAACCAAGTAAAATTTTGCGCACATCTGCGTCAAAATTCCGTGTGTCGACGATGTCTCTAGTTGGGAGTCAGTGATCATCACCGATTTGTAAAGAAGCTGAGCATCAACTCACATTCCCGTTTGTTGCTTCAAATCGTCATCCAATGCTTTCAACCGAGTCTCCCCGAGCTTGTCATCAGGATTTTCGTTGTCGTCAAAGAAGCGGATGAACTGGACACCGATCCAATTCTGCTGTTCGTTTGTCCGTCGAACATGAGTCACCAAGCGTTTGATCGGTCCATCTACACCGCAGAAATTGTCTCGGTTCTTGAGATTCCAGTGTCCGTTCGTCAAGACATATATGCTGACCGGTTTCTTATTCTGGATAGCCTTACTGACCAACTCGTCCAAACTTGGGGCCATGTTGCATTGATCTTCATGGAATAGCATCTTTTCTATATTATCTTTCAATTCCGAGGTCCTTGTTGATTGAAGTGGAGGGTGAGATGAGGTAAAATAGACTTCAAAGGTTGCATTTGGGTCAACCTCTCCCTTTTTGAGTAAGTACGAGAGGACTTGACAGCTCGCGGCTACTTTCTTTTGATGAGGCTCCATGGATCTCGAGTCATCCACGAGAAACATCTAGAGATATGACTGTCAGTGGACGCAGTGAAACTAGTCTAGGTCATGTATTCATCTTTACCTGATCACGGCCCTTCTCTCCTTTCAACTTCTGCAGGGCTGACACCAGCTGTGGGAACGCCTCAAGGGGTCTCCCTTTGAATTCAGACTTCATGCTTGGAGAGCGTCGGAATCGCGAACGTGAGCGATCTTTACCTTCTATGCATAGATTGTAGATGGCTGCCATTGTAATTACACCATCATTGACTTCATGGGGAGAGTTGGGTTCCGTGTCCCATTGAAATTGATTCGGAGGAAAGAGTCCGAGTTGGGATGTGTAGGATGGCAATCTTTCCTGTCGACTTGGGAGACTTTCGTTCCGAAGGACGTCCATCGGAGGGTTGCTGGCGACGTTCAGTGATATTGGTTGTTCCGGTACTCCCATTGCCTCATTTCCCACGTCCATTGGGGTACTTGTCTGGGCTTCGATATTGAGAGCATTTGCGGCATCAACTGGCCCAAACTCCGGTGTTCTGTGCCGATTGAAAGGTCCATGGTAGGTTTCAGATGCCGCATAAGTAGCACCTGGCACAGACAAGCGATTTTCGTGGTTCAAAATGCTGTCAGAACCATGATTCGGTCGCTGGGGCACAGTGTTGAACCTCTGAGGCACTCGCGTGTTATGCCGGTATGCATTTCCCAGGTCAATCTCGTTTCGCATTTCTTCCGGTGACTGTACAATAATTCCAGGACTGGATTCCGATCTTGATCCGATGAAATGAGTTGCCTCCACTGTTCTTGGAGAGTTCTCAACCGGGAGTTGACTCAGTGGGCTGGTTTCCCTCCTCCGAAATGTGGAATATGGCTCTGAGAATCTGGTTGTAAGAGGGTAAAGTTCTTCGTGTGGCTGAACCAGGTCAGGCCCTTCAAAGACTTTGCTCTTCCATTCGTCATGAAGCTCAATGGCCTCGAGCCTTTTTCTTGGGTTCATAGAGAGCATGCGGGTAAGCAGAAATCTGCTCACTGCCAAAAACCAATGAGATTCTTCCCCAGCGAAGCTACTTGCTCTCTGAAGCCATGTTTCAACTGAATTCAGAAGGCACGGCCCGTCTGGATCTCCGTCATGGAAAGATCCCTCATGAAAGCCTCCTTTTAAGCGGGACATGCGAGTCTCAATAACTCGATCCTTCTGGTAAAGATCACGTCCATACTCTCCCCACCTTGTCCAGACGAGAGCTTCGCTAGCAACGGCTCCGAGAGAGAATACATCGCTCTCCCATCGAATTGCCCTGGAGTCTCCATGATCCCTGTATGCCTCTGGGGCACCTGTAAGATCCAAAGTCAGCTGATCCAGAAGGTGTGATGTCAGTCATTTACATAGCAAGCACTTACTGTACATCCCGTTACCCCAGTTGTCGTCGGCGTTCAGTTCCATTCCCTGGTTTCTTGACCTACGAATATGCCCAGTTCCCATATCCACAAATTTGAATTTTGCAGCGTATACGTTGCCAGACTGATCAGGGCAGACCAGGATATTTTGTGGCCTGATGTCCTGGTGAGTTCTATGATTGTAGATAATTAGCTCAACATGAAACTGGTCAAACGTGATATGTTATGGCGACAGACCCTCTGAGTCCCCAGGACCCTTTGCCTCCTTGAGTTTCCTTGAGGTTGTGAATTGCGTGCAGACCGCCCAATAGATCCATCAAGTTGTTCCAGAAAAGGACACGGTCTGAACGAGCTAAAGGAGGAGGACACGATTCGAAGAAAGACTTCAGATTCCCGCCTCTGGCGTACTCAAGTATTACGGTTCGTAGACCAGGAATTTCGAATGAGCCGAAATATCTAATGACGGACATAGAATCGTACAGAGTCGGTTGTGCGTCCAGCTGCGTGTACATATTCACTTCATTTTCGTAGGTTTGAACCACCTCTGGGTCTTCTCCATAATAGGTTTTGAAGACCACCTCCTATTAGAACTATATCAGAATCCGAGTCTTTTATTCAGTCTAGCGATCGCGCGGTAGTGTGTATTACCTTCTGGTTAAAGCACAGCGAATGTAGCGTTACTCGGAAAACGCAGACTCTCTGGTCGTAGATGGTCCCTGAGTGTTTGATCTGTTCTTTGGCGATGATAGGGATGATCTGTAGCGGTGGGAGATGTCGTTTGTGAGGTTTGCCTCTCCCTTCGGTATCGAACAGGAAGGGGCAGAATCTCCACTGTTCTTTCTCGAATTCCTCAAAAATACTTTTCTCTGCGGCCTCGGAAAACGCATGAGGTGTCTCTCTCAGTGGTAGTAATCCGTCATGAATAGACTCTCCTGTGAAAAGCGAAATGTGCTGGGGTTGCGACATGTAGACGAGGATGGAGAAGACTTGGATGTAACCCCTCTGAATAGTGGAAGTGCTGTCTTTGATCCAGTCTTCTCGACCAAGGAGAACGCCTTCCACATTCTCCGCCACCCAGAAGCTGTCCAGCGCGCATCGGGGAACAAAATCAACAAGCCCATCCTCGTACCCTCTCATGCCACGGCAGCTACGCTCGGAGACGTACTGATCTACATATCGCTTGAATTTTGCAATGATGTTGTCTGGCTTCATCTTTCTTCGATTGAGAACTTTAGGGGCTAAGAAGAAACGACAAGTGAGTGCTCTAACAGTGAAAGACCTTCATGCCAAGACTCGGGTTTTGAGGGTTAAAGATGCTCTTGACTCTCAATTTGACTAGGCCCTTGAGGTAGTGACGAAGATTGTCTTGACTTTGAAGCCACGGGGTATCAACGCCGTCGATTTCAACTCCAGGCGTTTTTATCCCAGGGGGCTTTCAGAAGGTTTGTGGGGATAACGGCGAGGCCAGGCGAGCAAAGCCAATGCGGCGAATTTCATCGTTTTAACTGCCATACCGTTGGCGAACCAGTGAGGCAATAAACGCCTGATAGGCATCGACTCAGGTCAGACAGACTTGGTGCGCCTGGTCTGCTTTTGGCGCGGATTCCTCCTCATTATTGGCCACGTTCGACGTGACAGGCTATGGCCATGAGGGACAACTTGCATAGAGGGGCTGGTTTTATTGATCCTTCCCAGCAGAGACAAGCGTTCCATATGCAGCCTGTGCCAAAAGTTGTGGCAGGCCAAAAATTCAGAATCAATGTTCCTTGCTCGTCGCTGAGCGGAAGAATCGGCATCCTGCAGGTCTCGGCGGCGTTGTCTGACGTGCAGCCTGGCCTCCATCTCTCAGCCCCGAGCGAAACAGCCAATGAGTCCCTCAAGTGCGACCGATTCTCCCGCCGCTCTAAGCTCGCGCGACTAGGCCTACAAGGCGTGAGGCAGAGGAGCCGAGGTGAGCACACATCTTCCAGAGAACTATAAAGGTAAATGCGGTGAAACTTTTGGTACCCTTTGCACCTTTGTAGCACTCAAGGTGGGAAAGTTTGCAAGGAAAAAAGAAGGGTTCGAAAGTTATAAAAAGAAGAACCTCTCATCTGAGGAAGTCCTGGTCCCTCAGTTTAATATGGTCTTAGCACACTGGAGCGAAGCTCCTGGCTCAGGAATGAAAAGCACTTTTTCGTATCATCATTGGAACTGTGTTGGAATCTTTCGACACATTTTTACAATATAAAGGGATGGTGCCTAAGACGAGAGGCAGGTGAGCAGGTGATGCTGCTGACCTTGCTTGAGGGAAGGAGAGGTGGGCCTCTTCTTGCCCATGTCGGAGTGTGACGTCGAGGAAGCTACGTTCTTGCTGCATGGAGATGCGTCGGAAAGTCCCTGCCCACACTCCTTGGAAGCAAGCTCCGTCGCTACACGTCTGCTCTATGGTCGACCTACGGGAGCAGTGATGAAAAGCAAGCGGGAACAGTGATGAGAAGACAATCACGGAGCCGTTTCCCCTCGGGGGGGAATCGTAAGACTTCTAGGATTTCATATCTGAGTTCTCTTGATCTGGCCCACAATTCCACAGCTCCAGATCATGCGTTTCCAATGGAACGATTTCCCTTGCTCTGTTGACACCCCTCCAGATGTAGTTCGTCGTTGTTGATTCGTATTCCCATTTTATGAGTTCTCTGCGGCCCAGATTTGGAACAATATCAAAAGGAGATGGCGAATGAGAGAGTGGAAGGCGTGCTTGCCTACGAAATATCTACTTGAGTAAGCCTTCCCCGAGCATCGTCCCGAATTCCAGAGGATTCTCACTGAGCAGGACCAACTCTTGCCTCGACCTTCCGCAACGTCAATGCATTCTGGGACCAAGTATACAGAAGTAATGTGACGAGAAACGCGATTCTTCCCGTGCCAAAATGATCCCCAAAGGAGCAAAAGACGAACCCCCGGCAACCTTTCATAGAGTCAAGTGAACGTGTTCCTCAGTCGACCATTTTTAACCCTCTACCCACTGTGAGCGGAAGCCCAGTTAACATCCCCTGTTTTACATCATTGGGACGACTCGTACTGTGTTGAATATTTTCCCAACATTTTCCTTTACATACCATCTTCAGGCCTTTTGGGGGGAAAGACGTACTGCCTACGGAGTGTGTGGTAGGTCCTTCTAAGTAAGGAGCCGGTTCGAGAGGACGGGAGGGGAGGAAGGAGGGGGAGCATGGGCGATGCTTTGAGAGGCAGCAACCACCAATTGCAGAGACCCGGCCCAAGGGAAATCTAAGGCAAGAAAGGTCAACATTGAGACATGGAACTCCAGTATTCCAACGGCCGACCTGTCAACAGATCTCAGACCGATAGACGACGGAATGTAAACTATTGGATTATTCTCGGACGACTTTAAACGCAGAAATATGCAGCTGTCTGTTCGATTACACGTGCGATCTGATATCTGGCAGAAATACGAACTGGTTCAAAACGCGAGACCTTAGAAGCTAATGATTTGTCCGGGCCGCCAACCCTTTAAAATTTAGCAAATGGCGTCGACTTAACACGGTTAATGACAACTGACCATATGCATTCGTCTCTAGCGGCACCAAGTATCCCGAGATCTCAAGTGCTAGCTCTGTACGGGGAAGTGCTCTTCGAGAAACCTCTGTCTGCACTGGCTGCCTACATTCTGCCTCGGCTCTCGAGCTTCATCCCAACCTCCCCCGCTAATGCTGTAATGTCAATTTGCGCTAGAAGCCTGCTACTGGTGGCCATGCGTGCTTTGGGGCGTGCTTTGGGGTGAACATGCAAGAGGCAGACAAATCTCCATGTCAGCCATTTATACATTCATTACATCCAGAGGGGACAAGGCAGCGTGAATCTAGCAAGATACGAAACATCAACAAAATAGTTCAGAATTTCCTTCACCGGTAGTCATTTTTGTTATATGATGTCTATAATAAGTGAATTCTTACAATTTCCGCCGTGCACTTTTTCTCAGTCTTACACACATGAATAACCAGCCGCCGATGGTTGCCGCGGTCAGAGGACCACAGAAGCTTAAGAAGAGCATTAAGCTATCACGCTTCCAGATGAATGGTCTTGTCATGTCGTCTGGCCCATCTTCTTTCCAAAGCAACACTCCACTCTGGAAGAAAGTCTACCATTAAGTCAGAGGTTCATATCATGCCGGCGGTATTCGGGTAAGCCGTTCTTACTGCAACGAAAGTGGCCGGCAGAAAGATTAGTGTCGCGATCGTGATGACATGCATCGACGTCGTTTCCTTCAACGTCTTATCTGTTATGACTTGCATCTGCTTCGTGTTCTCGTGCGCTATTTCCGCGAACCAATTACCGATATGACTGGTACGCTGCTGGAGTAATCGCTCATACTTTTAGGTCCCATGTTAGCTTAAGAACGCTTTCTTTCATTCTGCTTCTGAGGGTATGTTCACCAGCTGTATGCTTTGACCAAGGGTGATGGCCAAGCAGCGCATTTGTTGCAGTCGTGTTTCCAATCTCCTCGCGATAGATTGGACTTCTTTGATGAAGTTGCTGATTGCTCCTTCACATGCAATCTTTCCGCGAAACTCGGCGGCGGCGGTGTGACTGTAGAATGTGCAGATGTCATTAAGGACACCAATATCAAGTTCCAGAGCTAGAGAAGCTCGATGAATGATTTCAGAGTGCTTGTGCAAGGTCTGCACGTCTTTGAACCGAAACTGGTTGAGAACCTCCCATGTGTCTGGCTGGGGAGGCGGTGAACTTGTGTCCGTAGTACAAGCAGTGCAATGGCCACCGAGCTCCGGATCCGTCTGTTTTGGCTTCTCCTGTCTCAGCCAAGAGCTCAGAGTTGAAGACGTCCCGTTTGCCACCCGGGATAACATCGACATCTTGTTCTTCTCAGGGTCAATAGTGGTGGCCAAAGTGCCCGACATGGATTGACTGTGCGAGTACATAGTTTGGCTACGGGAGTCTCTCAAAGGCTTTGGGTACGCACTTAAGAGGCTGGACTCCCTGTCAATGAGATCATCGACAATCGCTTTGCTGGCTGGCGTTACAATCGCTCGAATCCCTGCCTCGGTCTCGTTGATGAACTGTCGCCAATTCTCATCGCACCAGCAGAGGTAAACCAAGTGAGTAGCTAATGACGCCTGAAGATAGAGAGAAACATCTCCATCTTGTGTTTCAGTCTTGGCTGGAATTCTGAGGAGAGGGCTTGTTTTCTTGATCCGGTCTTCAAAAACATCGTCTGCCTTGACGGTGAACCAAAAGGCCCGTCCAGTTTCCACGTCGAAGGAGTGATAGTTCGCAACTTGACGAATCTGCCAGTCCCAGACCCCTTTGCCACTTTCGGAAGATTCGACGGAGCGGAGAAGATAAGACAGTTGTATTTCGCGACCGGAACGGCCGATCTTAGGAAGCTCTGGGAGGCCTTCAGTGAGACAGTTGAGCGTGTCGCTGCCTTTGAACTGAGCCAGACAGAGATCGAGAGGCTCGCTCTGTCGTCCGAAGGCGTGTACTGGCTCCAAGAAGGAGGGGTTAACTTGGTGATATGAGCAAACTAATTTGAACATATCCATAGAGCAACTCAACGGCGATCTCGAGTTATCTGCGCTAACAAAACTTTCCGTGGTGGTCAGTAATTTTCAACCAAGGGTTGAAGGGGTATCATAGCTTACACGTGACGAACGTGCGGGTCTTGATCACCGCGGTGCAGGTGTGACCAAAGGGTCTCCATATCCCAAATGGCTTCTTCCTCATCAGGGAATTCTACTGACATCAGATCAGGAGCCTAAATAAGAAAGTACATGGTTTCTTACGATTTCGTCTTCCAGTCTCCCAGAACGTTATCACAGATGCCGCGCGGTCAAACAAGGAGCACTCCCTCTCTAGGAGGCTTCTATATTGCCGTTCACCGAAGAGAGCTTCATGAGGTTCTTGTTTCCTGAGCTGTACTTGAGGATATTCGTCGGAATTACGGCAAATCTCCGTGAACCGATCGTACGCGTCTTGTGTCTGCATTTTGAGAATGAGGGTTTCACAAAACCGATACACAGGAACCTGAGGCAGGATTTGGACACAGCGTCTACAATAGGTGTAAAGATAACGACAGTAGTCGGCACAACCAGGGGGTCTTCCTTAGTATTCTGAGAATGCGTCGCCTGTGGGCCGAGCCTCAGGAAGATGGATGACATTTAAGTCTGAAGAAAAGTACATGCAATAATTCCATTTCGGCCCGGGTGGCGGGGTCGCTCAAGATTGTCAGATTCTCACTGGCTAACGCATTCGGTGTTTGCCTTGCAGAGGTGCACACCTCGAACACCGCCTCTCGCACATTAGCAGCACTGGATTCATGTAGTATTGTGCCTTAGGTAACGTAGTAGACATCGATTACTGAAAACCTCTCTGCTTATGGACTTAATGACCCGAATAAATACTCTCCCTTCATGAGGCTTAGAATACCATATCGTGCGTCCGGGCGTGGTTTAGGCAAGAGACACGTCCGGTGCTTGATTGCTGTCTCTAGAGCCTAGCCTGAAACTAGCCTAACCTCGGTTTCTTTTTTTTTCTTGGTATAACCAGATGTTGAACGTCGTCCTTTATGTCGCTTTGATTAGTTTTGAGTAGCCCAAAGTCTTGATATACTGGGTTACCTGAGTGATTGCTATTGTGGCCGTTATCACATAGTCGCCATCCTTAGACTGTCTAACATTAGCTATATCTCCACTAGAGTCTCCGTCTGCCTCTTCTCTACCACTGTTGCTGATCATCATGTCCTTTATCTCTCCCTCTTTACCCTGCCTCAGCCTCTCTACCGTCTATACCTATTGTCTCCGTCTTTCTCTTTGTCCCCATCTCTCGGCCTCTATGCATTGTTTCCGTAGGTATTCTCGTATATTGCCCTTATTATCTCATATAGAAGGATGAAACATGCTTACTGTGAGGCTAAAGTTGCCCGCGCCTCGAGTGTTCTGGAGCCAGGCCTCAAGAGCATCCCTCCGAATTCTGTATCCATTGATGGTCGAGACTATCATTGCGCGACCGATTCATTGATTCCATGCGGGGTCCGATTCGAGAGAAGACCAACAACGGCGAGGCACATTTGAGGAATGACAAGAGCTGAGCCCCATAATTAAGTGTTGAGTCGCCTCGAGGCTCAATGCAGGCTCCCGTACTGATCACTTCGCCACCGGTCCGGAACGGACCAAATAGGGGAAGGGGGGTTTGGAAGCCTACGCACCGCCTGATATTAACAGGACACGAAAGCACGTCAACTGCGACTTCATTGGTCGCCTGATATCTCACCGGCTGTGATCGGGCGCATTGCTTCGGCCGTCTTGGGGCTTGTTGGATGTTAGACAAAACCCCGCTTCAGCAGGCTGGCTCAGCTGGTCAGCGTTACCATGCACGGCACTTCTACCTGCATCAGTTGTCTCACCGGTAGGTTCAGTGATAACCACGGCACCTGTCTGTTGTCCAATCAAGCAGATTGTTGCAGCACACCTCCGCCATCGCTGACTTGGTCTGGACCGCTCCTATCGTCTGTGTCAGCTTCGTGAAATAGATGCCTTACCGCAAGCGACAGGCGCTCTCACTCGAGCTGATCCACCCGCCAAGATAGCCTGCTCATACAGAGTAGCATAGCGTACCAGGTTCTCTTGAGGAAGTAGAAACGGAATGACTCCAAAGGATCTGATACTCCTACCTTTGAGATGAGGGCAACATGACTGACCCTTGAGGAATTCATTATGCTTGGGAAAAGGTGGCAGAAGGGGCCCTCTTATTTAAGTGATTCAGTTGGATCATGGATCGTAGATTTTCTACGAGGCAAATCACTAGTAGAGATGGTAGATCATGAAACGATTTGATATGTTATAGTACCTTGATCCTGACTTATTGTAGGTAGTGAGAGGTTTTATGATAATGATGTGCTATAGTCCATGACTTCTCAGTCTAGCTTACTCTCAATACCACCAGCAAGCAACCATGGGTTCCAAATTTCCTCCTACTAAGCTAACTCACAAATGAGGACACGAACAAGATCGAATATACTTACGAACGTCCACCAGCTTGGTTCGGGCGTCACCAAAGGATCGATCATCCATGGATCATTCTCGTCTACCCAATTTTGTGCCGAATCCTGAACCTCTTCGAGAAAGTCCAGAGCCCCCAAAGGCTTACTTCTGTCCATATCAAAATCTGAGTAGTAGACTTCATTGGACCTGCGGTCGCCGCAGCTATAAGACTTATGAAATTTAGCACCAGGCTTCAAGCAGATACCATAGTCAATGAGATAGATTTGCGTCAGGTCGTATTGATACCCGTTGCCCACGGCTTCCAAAAAGTAGCCTCTGATATCTTTCTGGTTCATGAGAGACATTACCGATTCTCTACAAGAGCTGAACATCCAGTAGTAATCATATTTGAAGACCATACCGCGGGTTCACGTCAACTCTGCCCGAAAATCGGGACTGGTGGTTTCGAAAGGGAAACGAGGAGGCCTTGGTATGGCCGCCTCCTTATCTTTCCAAAGCTGATAGCAGAGGAGTCTACAGTTGAAGCACACGGCAAATGCCCATTCATCTGTTTTCTGTTGCCAAATTTGACCGGTCGTTGATGGGGCTGTTTCGTCGGCGGAGCTGCTGTCCACGTCTGGCGTCCCTTGTAATTTTTGACTGTCAGAGGTCTTGAACATCTTGTTCCCGGACCTTTTGTGTACGCAGTCTTTGATGGCCTACTTCAATGCCGTCTGAGACTCCTTAAACGCCAGCCAAATATCAGCATCAACGAAATGCATTGAAGACGTGCCATGCACCGAGAATTGTTTGCAATCCCTGGGCGTATGCTTTGAGGATTCCAAAAGTTCTGGAGATTTCCTAGCCTTTTCGACTGCATCTTGTATGGCAGCTTCCTTCTCCAAAGTTCGCGGCAGCTTGGCAAACAGTGGCTGCCCTTCAGCGTCTAGCTGATACAGAGCTTGTTCCTAGATGAGGAAACGCAATTCAAGAGGTAGTTGTGGGAACTTGTGGAATATACCAGCTAAGTTGGCTGTCTTCAACGGTGTTGCGGCACTGCTTTGTGCTGATTTCGGATGGGATTCCATCTTGTGTAGTTGTTTGATTCTTTGGTGCTATTGATTTGGGGGAATGGGGGTGGATTGCGTAGTAAGTTTATGTTTTGTCGTCCTGTCTCCTTGAGAATGTAGCAGGGAAGAAAAGAATGGTAGCAAAACAAATGGCGTAAAAAGTTTCCAGTTCTTATGCTCATCAAGTACCTTGATGATGGGTTTGGCAAAGCGGGTGGCGGGATAATGTGGAAATGTGCTGGTACCACCGAAGTCGTCCTCATAAAAGCCAGACTTTGAGCAGCATTTGGCATGCAGCAGGAGTGTTCTGATTCTTATCCGACTGATAAGCCTGTGGTAAGCTCATGTCGCTATGGGTCTGAGAGGGAATCAAGGGGTAGTGGAAATATCATGGCATAACGTTTCGAATGCTGAACCGATTCTTCAAGTTTGAATCATTGAACACTCACATACAAAGTGAACATATCATGATGAGGGCTACCTAGAAACGGATGTTCGTAATAGATGTGACATAGGCCTCCTGACTTCAAGAGCTTAGAAGTGGTGATTGAAAGCCCTGTTACAAGAAGGAGACTTTGAAACGTTCACTGAACGGGCAGTGTCAGGCTTCACCGAGGCGGACATTGCAAGAGCAAGACAACACAATTTGGGCAAACATTTCTCTTCAAACGTCGTTCGAAATTCAGGTTACCTTGCTTCCGGTATATCAATTCTTGATCAACGCAAGGTGTGCACAAAACAGTCTAACGATTATAGAGGTTGAAAGATTATTAGGCTTATCGATGCTGCTGGGGAACGACATGTTATTGAATCATGATATGTGACAGTGAAAACCTCGATTTTGTTAGGGATCTGCTCCACCACGGGCCATCACAGGCGTTCGATTGACATCGGACGGTGGGCAGATAATGCAGGTTCACATGTAAAGCAATCGACCGACAAGTCGGTCAAGTCGTAGGTATTTGCTGTCGCGAATCCGAGCAGCCATGAGAGCGGCTTCCCGTAGCGTTGAATCAACTTCCTGTAAATCTGACAGCAACTTCAATTAGACATAGATTAAAGTGGTTTGATGCCAGTTATAGCCCCCCCCCCCCCCCGCGCGCGCTTACATATAAGCCGAGATCGAAGACCTCCTGTCCGACATCAGTATCCCATGACTTGTTTCCAGTACATGATCTTGCCCAGGTGGCAGAAGCCAGCAGATGAGATCTGTCCAAAGACGCGTCGGATTCGCAAGGAAGAAAAGCACCATCCGAAGTTTCTAGTCGAGGGCGACAAAAGATCCATGGTCTTGGACGGTCCGGGCTCAGTCTGGCCATGGCGTGATCGTCTCAACTCGTCCCGACGGCAATCTCTGATCCTCCCCTCGGAAAGCAATGACTGATAGCTGTTCGGGCCGTCTACGCAAATCTTCTGACAGTTGTATGTTCGAGAATCACGTGCAATGTTTGAGAGGAGTGCTGCATAGTAGCGCGTTGTCCGTGGATCTGCCGCAGATTCTGAAACAAACCCTTTTCAAAGGTCCACCTGTCATGGTTTGAACCTTTTCCATTCCAGCCCTTTGATCAGACAAGTTGAGATTTCCATGACACAGGATTGCTCCTCTGTGAACTTTCAACTTTGACTCGAGTTCTCTCAGAAAGTTTGCTTTCCGTCGGCAGAGGGGAGGCATTTACTGCCCACCCCGTAAAGTTGGCTGGTGGACGTGTCTAAGCCGAACTGTTGGGGCGGTGTTTCTGAGTTCAACTGAGCTGGTTTTGTTTGATGTGATGGGGTTTCGGGACACGGCACACCCCTGCCATGGTTACGGGTCCCTAGATTTGGAAATACGGGCATTGTAGCCTTGCAGCGCACACACACGGACTCGGATTCACCTTGCTTACGTTGCCTTATTGAGTCTGGATTGAAGGTTGATCTGTCTAAAGTTCGAGCATCGGCTTCCCAAAGTTGTCGATACCGCCCCCTCACGATATCAGTCCAGCCGTCTAGTGACGTGAAAACCTTAAATAGGTTCAAGAGGTCATGGCCATCGCAGCAGCGCGTCAGTTTAAAGTTAGCAGAGTACTCTGACTCGGCATTGGCAGGACCGTGAAGTTATGACTTGCCCAACAAGCAGGTACCGCGTCAAGGCCTCATGAGAGTCCTCATGGCCGAATGCGTATTCTGATTGCACATTTTGATCAAATGTGTTCGATGATGGCAAATCAATTAAATTGGTATGTCGAGATCTAACAGTTTGAATGAGGGGCTCATGGGTTGATAGGCCTCACTCCATAATTGTATCTCAAGTGAAAGAACAATGCTTGGACCGTCTCGCATCGCGGGGTCCCGTTTTAGTTTTTTGAACGCCTGTGTATCACACACCCGTTCCTGACCGTTGGATATGCTCCCTCCTCCTGGACTGCGCTGATTGCTCGCTTCTTGCTCACTTCTTTCTAACTCCTCTCATCTTTGATCGTTAATATGTTATGCGTTAATCATTCATGTAGTTGCCTCAGTTTTTCACTCTCGAGTCCCGGGCCGGCCGGCTGGCCCGCTCGACTCGGCGATCGCCGTGGGTGGGCCGGGGGGTGGATGAACCCCATCGCTCGGCCTCGGAAAGTAGACCATCTTTAATGGAAGCGCCTCTTTTTGATGCCTGTGACGGTAGAATGTGAGATCTTGGGAAGCTGATTGTAGTCCAAGGGCTTTCACATACTGCGCAGAGATGACATCTATCGCCAAAGCGGGAGACTGTATTGTGGCAATGGATGGAGCCCTGCAGAGTGTCACGTGAGTCAATTGAGCGCACTATATCACGACCTTTGAGAAGACATACGTAGTAGTTGGAGCAGTAGTAACCCATTGTGAAGACTGTGTTGACGTATGGAGACCGGAAAAGGGAAGATGTTCAGAAGACGTTGAAGTGGTTGATATGGGCCAAGTAGTAGAGTGGATCGCGAAACGTCGAAGGGATGGACCAGCCTGGGTACGATGGGAGATATGAGCAGATCTTTCTGATGTTCGTGGGACGTCAAAGAATGCCAAGTCGTTTGAGCACTTGAATTGAAATGGAGGAGAAGGACTTGGGAGAAACTTATACATGCTCCAAACGCCACCAACGCCCAGACGCCGGCAATGGAGAAGGTCCATTAATAACACACGCTCTTGGCTAGTCCGGCAAGTTCCTTTGCGGCAGCAGAGTAGCAGACCACTGCCACTTGCCTTGCTTTGCGTAGTCCGCCTCAACGAAACGAAACAAGCCTCGGAGACCGTGACACCTATCCAGGGCTGCCCCCTTCAGGAGCTCCTAGTCGGCTTGTGGCCCGACAGGCAAGCAGAACTAAGCCTAAAAATCATCCGACGAAATGGCTTTCAGTGTGTCATACAGGGGGGATGGAGGGGATGGCCGGGCCAACTTTCGTGAAAGAGCTATAAGCACTGCCTTGGACACCATGTGTAGTGTAGCAAAAGGGCGAAAAGAGGGTACAGTGTTGAAGGCCTGCGGGCCAAGTGCTACGCTGTGTTGGGCATTGGGCCAAAGTTTCCGCTTGGTCAGTGCTCCTCCGGCACGGTTCCCAGCTTTCCGGGAACCCAGAGTGCCCCTTGGTCCCCTTGGCCTCTTTGTCAGTTGTTGCCGCGTGTTCCTACTTGCCAGTTCTTAGCTGGTGCTGCTGGGGCCCATCCAGTCTGAGGGAGATAGCGCTTGTTTGTGTTTGTGGCAGACCGTGGGGCTTGTCTCTGGACAACGGGTGACGACCCGACTCACGACGTCTAGCGTTGGCGGCTCAAAATGACGAGAAACAAGTAGGCAGGACAGTACCAAGACATAAGACGTGCCACCGCTAGGGAAGTTTGCGGGGAACATCGCTGGGCATGGCTGGTGGTAGTTGGGGGCGAAGGGCGTTCGCTAGGCGTGCTTAGTTTCAGATGAGACCGAAGTGCAGAGTATGGTACACAAAGTAAGGTAGGGACGGAGTGGCTCAGAAGGGTACGTGTACGGTCTCTTGGAGAGCGGGTCCGCTCGCATGTGCGGCATGGCACCAAGATCAAGCGTATGTACGGATATGCTATTTGTGGTGATGACAGTTGGTAACAACGGTAGGTTGAGCCTTGCTTGAGGTTGATGGAGAACAGGGGACCCTCTCCCCGGCGACGAGTTATGCGGATGGAGCTGGTCGAGACCGTTCGGAAGGGTTCCACGTCAGCAATTCAATGATGCTGAGTCGAGATAGGGCTATAAGCTCCATGAAGGATTGTCAAAACTGTGGTTTGATGATCTCATTCATAATACGGGTCATGTCATGGAGGCATAGGTACATGGAACTCAAGAGACTTTGGGGGCCCCAGGAGACTAGATCGGGACCAGATACCATGCGGCGGGTACCTTACTTCACCCTTCCTAGGAAGCCGATAGACCGATGCGGGCCGCTACGGCGCCTCGAGGCGCCGGCTAATGTCTTGGAGTTCAGGTGAGGCAGGGTTGATCAATGTACAATGAGTTTGGGTGTCTTTGATGACAACGAGGGTCTCTGACTATGCTTATAAAGTTGACGAGAGAGATGTGAAAGTGTATTGAACTTGATTGTTCAGTGTGATGAGTGAGTGGGTGAACGAGAGATCCATATCCGTGAGTGGAGGAAAGATGAGTAAGCGGACCGACGATGAGATGGGCTACGAAAGGTTACGTAATAACTCCGGTCCGACCAGATGACATAACGCGACGCGGCACGTGCGGACAGGCCAAGGCAGGTGGGGCCTCTGGATCCGAGCTCAAACTCTCTTGGGAGCTCCTGGAAACTTTCAGCGCAAAGCTCAAGTTCCCTCTCCTGGTGATTTTCGCATCATCTTAATCCAGAGTCAGACCACTCCATGCTGCACATTCGCAACGAACAATTGAAGCAACTGTCGAGAGCCCACGATACCACCATCGGCCGAGTGAACAACTTCATCGGAAGTCAATCAGTCCGAGTCCCATAAACCAAAATACTCCGATTGGGCGTCTAATTACATCGCATCGTCATCTCTTCTTGTTAGACGTCACTCAACATGGCCGTATTCGACAGCAAAAAGTTCCAATCCTCGGCGGCGACTAACACCTTCGCCGCCAAGTACCGAGCGCAAATGGCTAAGAGGCCATTCCTCCTATTCGGTCTGCCTTTCGTGGCCGTTATGGTTGCCGGTTCATTCGTCTTGACGCCAGCTACAGCGATCCGCTACGAAAAGTACGATAGAAGGGTGCGACAGGTTACCAGGGATGAGGAGCTGAACATGCGTCGGTCAGCACGCAAGGTGGACATGAAGGAGGAATACTACGTAAGTCATAGTGTTGAAGCAGCTTGGCGAGAAGTTGGACATGTATGGAGCAGGACTAACTGAGGACAATAGCGACTTGCGGCCAAGGACATCGACAACTGGGAGCAGAAGCGTGTCAAGCGATTCGCCGGCGAACATGACGGCATCATTGGCGAGTAGAGAGGCCATCACGATACGCCTTGCATCTCGATCGACTCGAAGGCTACGATGCGTTGGCACAACTTCGAAATGCCAGGCTTGTCAACATGCGTGCATCGAGATGGGATGAATAAACGCGTCGATGAAAAAAATCCCTTTAAGCAAGGAAGTTTGTTTATCAATCACGGTCACGATCGTTGCGGCCAACTCCCTCGCTCAGAGTCTCGGCCCAAGCAAGAACGCGACCGCGGCAAGGCGCTTGTTGTGGCAGAATTGTTGACGAAAGAATGTGCACATCTTCATCTCGGCAGCGTCTGACCTTGATCAATGCGCACAAAAACAATCAGCCACTTCGTGCCCAATCCCCCAAGCCACCAAGGGTTCAAGACCAGCTAAGCGTTGCCTTCAACGTCACTTCCGAACCCCGTTGTCAATCATTATCTGGCAGGTCTCATGCGGCCGCCGTGGCTGCCGTGGAACGGGACGGGAGGCATGCACAAGAAGATCCCTATTAGGGGGAGGCGTCGGACCGTCGTTATTGGGACAACCAAGATGCACAACATCAGGGCGGCTCCCTTGGGCGCTTGCACGCGGGATGACGCACCCACGGGTCGATCTGGGGTGGCCGCAGTGAGCGCGGCCACTCCCTGTTGAATGCACGAACATGAAACAACTGTCTTGATCCATCAGAGACACGATTGAGAAGCTGGGAGCTTGGAAAAAGTTGGTGTTATTGTTAAGCTTGGTGCTGGTGAAGCAAGCCCCTATGCACCGGGAAGAGTGACGGAGCGCATGCTGTCTCCCTTGGTCGCCTCACAACGCGCTACACGCGAAGGCGCATTCCAGGTACAGGCTGACGCTCAAGTTCAACATCATGCATGTAAAGCAAGTCTCAATCGATATCGACTAGTAGCGTGGGAATACCAAAATTTGGGTCATAAAACGTTCTTCGGCATATAAGCTGAGTGCTCACATATTCAATGCGCAAGACAGCGGTGCCTGCCCTGCATCCTCTGGCCATCGGAAGCCACTGCTTGGATCTGACGACGTCAATGGATGGGTGAGGTCCCATCACGATCGAGGTGCTGTCGTTCTGAACGAACTACTGGTGAAATGCAACGGTTTCCTTGTCGCACGCATCAACTTCAGCCTCTGCCGAACGAAGCTGTCAAGCAAGCCACGGCCCTAGTGCGGGAAGGGGTGGCTGTTCCGTTTCAAAACGTCTTCGTGTTCTCATCGGGCGATCAAGTCGCACCATGAATCCAAGAGCGAGATGAGGAAGGAAAAAATAAGAAATGCGCGGATAGAAACATTCGCATAGGTCACTCAAGGGCCAGTGGCGGAGATGTCACAGAAAGATTCAGGAGGCCCAGCGTCTCAAGACCGGAGTTGGTACCACAGTCGAGGGAAACCAAAAAGAAGAAGCCTTGTCGATCGGGATCGACGGGGCATTGCCATGCCGTCACTTCGTTCCCACCACGCCCCCATAGTATGAGCCCGGCAGGATGGTCCTGATGGGGGTCCGCGGGCCACTTTGTCGACTTTTCTGATGGGAACGAGAGCACGACATGTTGGACTCGATGAATTCCAAAGGGCTGAATGACTGCGCGAGGTGTGCAGGGGCGGCGGGTGCGCGGAGAGCGTTTGTGGGAACGAGCTAGTTTTCGGCCTGGCAGCTTCTCATACGGGCGCCCGCGGAACGAATATCCGTGTTTTTTTTAGTAATAATAGTAAAAAAGTAACCCTGTCTGTCATCATGTAGCTTCTGATAGAGTCATCAGTTAGTCTGGTCGAGTCACCGAATAGCCTGACTGTATTCCTGGGATCGAAAGCCCCCCGTTGATACGGGATGCCGTTGGCTGAAGCGAATGGGAGTTCTTTGTGGCGCAGAAACGCCTTCGGTGAGACCAACAGGCCGATAACGCTTACGATTCGTTTGCGTGGATTGCTGACGCAAGGCTGTACTCTGGACCGTATCATGGTAGCGTGGTGTGTGCCGCGCAGCCTTGGGAGAGAAAGCCGAACTATCTCCTATTCCTGGGCATCATCACGAGACGATGCGTGGAGGGAGTGAACCGTGGGCAGGTGAGTCGGTCTCCGCTGGAGAAGTCTCAACTCGAAACTACGGATATAGTACGTCGAAGACTTTTTTTGGTCCGGCTTTTTTAGAGATGATTTCGCGTCTTATTCTTCCCTTGCAACGCCCTTCCGATTCACCGGGAATATACACAATCCGAGTCTGAGCATCACCAAGTGGGACTTCTTGGCAAAGGCCATCAGAAAGTCTCCCAACAGCCGGAGCGGCGGGGGGGGAGGAGGAAATGGCGAGATATGGAAAGGGAGGTTGAAAGATAATCTCATGATTGGGGGAGGAAGAATGCTGAGCTGAAGAAAGAGGGTGTGCGCGATGAGACGGTCTGGTGGACTTGGCTCAGGCGGTAAACCTCCAATAGATGATTGCGAATTGCTTCTTGGGCTTTCTTGGAGACTCGGACACCACCACCACCATTAGACCGGTTCTTCCAAAGGACAGCAAAATTACGAGATCGTGATGTGAATGAAGGGCGAGACCACTCCCTGAATCTCTCGAGGGGGAGCTGTTCTCGCTCTCAACGACGCGACTGGGAGATCGAGATGGAAGTTGGTGCTGTGACCTCCTCGGGATGCCTCCGGACCTAGTAGTCCCCCCAACCTATCGAAATCTATTGAACAGGTTCTTGGGAGGTGCATCACGATGGGAGGATGAGGGGAAAGACATCAGCTGAGCAAGCTGCGAACTTGCTAGGATGATGGATCCCCCCCCGTTGGTGGGTTGTGGACTTTGTGGTTCGGAGCTAACCAAGATTCTTGCCAGGGATGGTAATGAGGAAGTGCACCCTTTTTCCTGGGGGAAGAAGCTGCTTGATCAGCTGGAAGTGAGGGGTCAAGACCGGATGGCGTCGGATGCTGTAGGTAGTGTAGCCCGGTGGGCGTGGGGGAAACCCTACCGAAGGCCGAACGGTGTTTGGAAACAAGAGAGTCCCGACGGAACCGGATTGCCAACAATAGTAGGTCAGGATGAAGGAGCAGGGCAGGTGGAAATGGTGAGCTGTCAGTCGGCATGTGAGACTCATTGCGGGTGAAGACCATTGCATGCAGGATATGCGATGACAGTTGGCAGCGGCGGTTGCAAGAAACTCAAAGAAATAGAGTGTTTGATGAACTTATCCTGCTGGCCATCTCGGTTCACCCACGCATGCGAACGGCGGCTGCTACCGATTCGTCGTCTTGGAAAAAAGACCGCATTTCGCATTTCTGATATCTGACCGCTTCTTTCATCACGCAAAAGAGAAAGAGGGGAAATCTCGTCTGTTCCAATGCTAGTGTGACAAGTTTATCAACGGATCTCTGCACCGTTTGCCTTTAGCTGCAGGAACACGATGAAGATGGCCGACCGTTCGCGGCTTAGTCTCCCAAGCTCCATCTCAGGTACCATCACATCAGACCAGAAGACTTGCATTCGCTTCCGCAGTACAGCGGATGTACTACCAAGAGGAGTGTGTGTGGTGTGTGTGTGTGTATGTGTGTGTGTCCATTTTGCCATCCGCCGCGCGCCAATCCTAAAGAGGCTCAGACGGATGCCCATCGCACTTAGAAAAACATCTTGAGGTTCGTCAGCCACTCAGCAGCTGCGGCAGTGGCTTGTCGTTCTTTTCCCTCCTCTCCTCAAGTTCCCAGTGCCTCCCTCCCTTTTCCCACTTCCGTTCACGCTAGGCGGCAGCGTTTTGCAGCGTTTTGCACTCTTTGGGCATGGCTTAGGTGGGATCGTCGACGTTTGGGGGGAGGGGGGGGGGGGTTTAGATCAGGATCAGATCAGGCGTGTCCTGCTGAACGGTCACGGTATCGGGTCCGTCAGCAGCGTCTATCTTTCCGAGGCAAGGGAGAGAGCAATGTAGAAGGTGGTAGGTTGAATGGGCGTTGAAAGGACGGATGATGGTGGTGCCCCTGTCTCGGTCCGACATCGCGTTTCTCTGAATCTCTTCTGAAGGGGGAAATTCACGGCCGTTGATGAGCATCCGTAACCGCATGGCATAGCATTGGCGACGGGGTAAAGATAGGCAAAAAAAAAAGGGTCCCCCGATGCACGATGCGGGATGGAAGCGAGGGCATCACGCAGAAAAGACTCCGCAGAACAAGTTGCAAAAAACCATTCCAGGATCAAGCAACTCAAGCACAAATGCGTAACTGGGATTCGAAGCGGTGGGCAAAAAATCAAGGAGTGTTCCAAGGCGATCAGTGGTCATCGCAGGAGCGCCTGCGCTGCTGATCAGCCACACCAGCAACGACCAGGAACCACTTGATCGGTGATCTTCACCGGCCGATTGGCTGTCAATTCGTCTTTTTCGGAATCAGCTTCTCGTTGGCTGACGGGCCCTCTTTCAGGCTTCATCCCACGTCCTTGTCGTGCTTGTATGACTGTTTGAGAATGGGGTTATATTTGCAGAGGAGCTGGAGAAGCAACGCCACACATGCACATACACACCCCCACCTCCTCCCCTCCCGTCGGTGTAGGTGTGCGTCCAGGGCCGCCTCCGAGATATCAGAGTTGGATGGCGACGGGTCATTGGCTACGTGGCTGCGTGCCTCGCCGGCAGGGACGGGTCCAAAAATCGGGTGTTCACGACATTGCTGTTGTGGTCGTACGTGTAAAGCGCAAGACATCACCATCCGGGGGGGACCGGCTCAGCGAAACGAGAAGAAAGCAGTTGCTGTGCATCCATCCGGAGAATATACTTACAAAGTACGTACGCAAGCGGGATCACGAAAAAAAAAAAAAGTGCCCCAGCTCTTTCTTCTCAGGCACCTTACCGTCAGACGAATGCCCCTTGGCCCCGTTCAAAGTTTACAGGTTCACTGGGAGAGACATTATCGCGATCAGCATCGAAGATTGCAATTGCAAGAGATATGAAACACACGGCCTCGCGCCTGTGGAACGTATCTGAAGCCGTAGCGTATCCTTTGGGATCACCTTCTGGCTTCCATTCGATTAGAAAGCCCTGACAAGCCATAGAGGACACGCGAGAGGCAGATCAAGCGGTAGAACGAACGAGCGTGGAAAAAGATCAGACGGCGTTGACATTGATGAAATTCGTTATGCTTCCCTTACTACGTAGGTAGCGTTCAGACGGAAGAGATGAACGGATGACGTATCGTAACGTCGCTGTCAGCGCCCGTTTGGGAGCGTGCCCTCCGCTGATCTGCCTGAGATCCACGGCCACCTGCTGTAAAAGGTGCCCTTTCGTTGAGTTAGTAATGCTCTTCAGAGCGTGGGACGTGCCCGCCCTTCCGGATACTTTGGTACGTATCGTCATTCATCGTGGCCTCGAGACTGAACTTGGGGAGCTAGATAGAAGCGAGCAGTTATACCTATCTACGTACTTTCCGGGTTCCTTTCAGGCTTCCAGGGCCGAGAGAAGTCAAGAAGAGAGTTTCTTGACCGGGTGAACCTGGAAAAGCAGCTACCCAAGGGCTCACAGGAGTCACAGGCTGACCAACACCGCCTTGCTTGCCCCCCCTGTCCCCTGTTCATCTTCCTCAATCAGCTGTCAGCCTGGTTAATTCTCTTCTTCCTTCTCTTTTGTTTCCGTCCCCGTCCCCGGAACTCTCTTTTTGGCCGTGGCCTAAATTTGGTGATTTGCTCCATCGTGTGCTTCTTTTTTCGAGGTGGGCATTCCCAGTGTCTTCCAAATCCACGAAGAAACCACCAAACAACCACAAAAACATTCACCCCGTTTTAGGAACGCTAGTGTCGCCTCGTCTCTCGTCCAGCACAGTTCGGACCTAAGATACACACACATTCGGCATTCTTTCCTTCGTTGCTGTTCCTCCCGGAGAGGAAGAAGGGCCACGCACGACCATCCGCAGCATGACTTCAGACGGCACATCTGACCGCCGACGAGTTGGAATTGGAATGACGACTTCCTTTCTTGTCCTGTCCACTTTCGCTTTCTCTTGAGTGTAGCTAATGTAATGCCTTTTGCGATACGACAATTCGGTAAAGGTCTGAGCAACAAACTAGGGAAGGGAACAGGTAGCGCCGCGCAAGCGCAGCCTTGCCCTTGGGATTCGACTCGCGTCCACGGCGGTGAGCAATAGACATTCACGCCGGCCGGGACGGGCGGCGTCCATTCTCGCGAGATCTCTCGATCTCTTTCTCCCTCTCTCTGGGTAGCATCTCTCTCTCCCAAACTCTCCCCGTTGTTTCCGTCTCTGCAGCTGGAGTTACCGTGTGTCCGGTCTCTCTGGGCAGCATCAACAATCTTCACACACGCACCTCGGATACGTATACCACCCTCCATTATCCATCGGCGTGGCATGCGCCTGATCCTCTTAGCCTCTTCCTCTCAAGTTGAACCCCTCCCACTCACTGAATGCTCCCGTCATCCATCCATCCCAAAATTCCTCGTCGACATGCGGAACCTGCAAGGCACCGTCTCTCCCATTCCTCAAGAACCCTTTCCTCCCCCCACCACCCTAGCAAAAGCTAGTGGCTCAACTCACTAGCGTGAGAGTCCTGCTTCCTCGTTCCTCGTTCCTCCCACCCCTGCTCCGTTCACGTCTATGTAGGCTATCCTCTTTTCAGCCTCGATCGTCAGGGACCTTGGTCTCCGCGGCGTGCTGTGCCCAGTCCACTTGTGCGGTGTGCGGCGTGCGAGTACCTGTCTTGTCTCTCTCTGCTGCATAGCGTACCCATCCTCGCGTCCGCTCGCTTTTCCCGCTTGAAGGGGGGGGGGGGTGTATGGTGTGTGGTGTGCGGTAGGTAGGTAGTGGTTTTTTGCTTGCCTGCCTGTTGTGCCTGCTTACCGATTTGCTCATCCCCACGTTTGGCAGGCAGATGTGGTTCCCCATGAAAATCCTGGTTTCGGCCGTCATGGATGATGAAGTTTTATAATAAGACCCGATGCCCGCTTTCGTTTCCCAAGCTGCGAAATGCCCTGTCCCGGATCTCCCATCAACCACTTGACATCCTTGTCATCATTAAACAACCACACTCCTTGAAGACTATCCATTACATACCCGTGTGGTAGAATAAAGTTTCTCTCGTGGTAACATATCATATCTACAACACCCTTCCCTCCAGCCTCACCTTCACTTTTCTTCTTTCTTTGGCGAGCTTCCTTCTCCCACCGTACTTCATCTCCCGGCACATCAAATACCGACAGCCCGGATACACAAGGGAGAAAACATAGGAACAACGAGGATTGGATCACAAACCAACAACTATATATATCGATCACCACAAGGAGCCTACATCAACTGGCTGGTCACTATCTCGAAGGAGCTATACCTCTCTCTTACACACACACACTATCACCATGCCTTCACCATTATTCAATAAGGGAGCCCGTCACCCAGAGGCTCTCCACACCCGCAAGCCCTCCCTCACCAACTCAGTCTCCAGCAGCGACTCCTCATCAACACAATCAACCCGCTCAACAGCAACCATGCGCCACACAAGAGTCCTCGACTTTGACCCTCTCTCACTACACCCGACCTTCCACGCACCACCAAGACTCTATGAGCGGCCCTTTATCCACAACTCCCAGTCCATCGAGGACGAGGTTATCAACTCGTACTTCTCCAGCCAAGAGGCTGCCGCAGCCGCCGAAGACAAGGCAAAGGCTTCCTTCGCCGCCGCCATGCCCGATATGCCCGCACCGCCCGTCGACTCGCCGCGGACGCCGATCCAGCAGCAGGAGAGATCCCGGGAACACGCCGCCGAGGGCGACGACTACTTCCTCTTCAAGGTCCAGCAGCACATCGCCTCAACGAGACCGCAGCTGCCGCGCTCCCACTGGTCCGAGTCCACCATTAACACCTTGGCATCTCAGCATGACGATGATGACGATGAGGAGGAGGACTCCTCCGAGGACGGCAGCTTCGTCGACGAGGAGAGGCCTGTGAGGGAATCGCAATGGCAGAACTTTTCCATCAAGCGCGGCTCGCCTTCGACTGTACGACGACCGGCAATGAAGTCCCTCGATAGCGTCGAGGACTTTATCAAACGCGGCGGCTGGAAGAGGCGCGGCATTGTCTTTGAGCAAGAAAGCGCCCGAACTTCCAATACGTTGTTCTAAGGAACATCCATCTACTCAACTTCATCACTTTCCCTTACAACATCTCATCGACACTCATCATCGAATACTTCATCAACATCATTCACTCTTCCAACATTCCCTATTTCCTTGTCTCGGGCAGCAAAAACGGCGGGAGGCACCTCTGAGGAGGGCGGCTTTAACGGCTTTCACGACC